TTTTACATTTATTTTAATTAATTAATTTTTACAAATTTGAATTTTTAAATTATTTTGGATTTATTTGAATAAGTTTATTTTAATTATTTACATTAATTACTTTATTTTATTTCAATTAATTAATGTTTTTACTTTATGATCTCAGTCTGTATTGTGAAGAACATTCTGGAACTTATGCAATAAATCTCTTTTTGCGTTCCACAGAAAATATAGTGAAAGATTGAGAGGCAACACTTTCATTTTTGGGTGGACTATCCTTTTATAGCGGTGTAGGATTTGACTAAACCTGTTCTTACCTGTCTGATAGGAACGCTGTAACCTGACAGCAGCATTTGTGTGTTTGTGTGTGTGTGTGTGTCGTGTGTCGTGTGTGTTTTAAACACAAACGGCTGGTATGCGAGTGGTGTGAACTGCCAGGCACCCGTCATCGTTTCTATTTTAGCTGAGCAGCTCGTATAGAAGAACATACTGCTCTCTTTTGTGAAATGCAGACAGAGAGCGAGTGAAAAACAGAGAAATGTTCTCTGATCCAACGTCATACGATTCGTCTGAACATGAGGGACCTGAGTCTTATCTAGAGACCAGAATAACACAGAGATGTGAAACCGGACTTGTTTCACATCACATTGCAGAAATAAACTAGTAGACTTGAGTAGGCTACTGCAGGTATATGCTGAGAATGACAGGCCTGGTTATTTGCATCGTTAAAATCACATCAGTGAGCTAATTTTGTGAGAAAACGGTTAAACGTGGCCTTGAGTTTCCTAAGCGAGACCATATTGTCAACCCGCAGATGCTGGAGACCAACCAAACATGAGGTCATGTGGATGACAGCAGACCTGCTCGTGTGATTATCTGGAATTAAACACTGACTCACAGACGTGGAAATGTTGAGACGACTCATTATGGTCATTATGGTCACGCCAAACACACGACCAATGAATCGAGAGCTGTTATTTTGTATTTGCTTGAGAGACTTAAATCAGTGTAATTATTGACTTGTTTATAAGATGGCGTGTAGCTAAAGATACAGATTCACAACCGTTTAGTTGCAATAAATGTTCATTTTATTAAAATATCATTGCAAATGTGTGCATTGTGGGCAATATAAAGAAAAAATCAATGTAAAAGTGTAGTAGGTTCTAACTGATATGCAGCTACTTTCATGACGGAAACGAATCATTGAATCTGAGCTGAATTGATTCGCTTAAACTAGAAATGTTGAACTATTTTATTGAAAGAAATCGAGCTTACTAAGTTAAATTGATTATTTATTTATTTGCTTATTTATTTACTTATTTACATATTTATTTGCTTTTTTTATTTTCATGCTTATTTATTATGAAAAAAACATTTTGGAAACTATGCCATGTTGGCTATCTTGTTTTGTGTTGCACAGAAGAAATAAAGTCACACATTCTGGAAATTCAACTTACATTCTTGTGCATTAAAATATTGTAATATCTGAAAAAGCAATGCGGCTGCTTACATGAACACCTCTGACACTGAGTGATGAAGGCAACGAATCGCTGAATCTGAGCTGAATCTCTTAAAGAAATTTTTAACCGTTTTATTGAAATGAATCAAACTCGCCAAGTTTAGCAAATGTATTTATTTATTTGCTTGCTTGTTTATTTATTATGAAAAACCTTCTGGAAATGATGCAATAAATTCCTTTTGTGTTGCACCGAAGAAATAAAGTCATATATTCTGGAAATTAAACTTACCATGCTCTTGTGCATTTCCGTTCAGATGAGCCTCACGTTTGAGAGTGTGTGATGATGCTGTGTGTGTATAGTATGATTTATACATGTATTTACTGTGTGTGTGTGTGTGTGTGTGTGTGTGTGTGTGTGTGTGTGTGTGTGTGTGTGTGTGTGTGTGTGTGTTCAATGCAGGTGGGCAAAGAGACGGTTCAGACCACCGAGGATGCCATCATGAGGAGAGACATGCCGCCTGCCTTTATAAAGTAAGACACACACACACACACACACCTTCTGTTGAAGGTAAAGGTCATGGAAGGCATGTTAAGTGTGTGTGGTCCTGTGTGAATAATGGCACTGCACTCTGTTTTGTCTGCATCAGCCTTTAGTTTTAAATGAAAATCTGTGTGCAACAGCAACCTTACAACTCTAAACTCTTCTTCCTTCATCTTTTTCTGTATTTTTAAATGCCATGGCTTTGATTCGCATGGAATGCATTAGCTTACAAAATGCACATCTTGAATGCATTGTAAATCGCTTTTGGATAAATGCATACATGTACATTTAAATGCACATTATTTTAGTTAACTCTGTTGTGTGTGTGTGAGTGTGTGTGTGTGTGTTGAGGGAGGAAGTGCTCTAATGCAGGTGTGTTGACTAATAAATCAGGTGTGGACATGCTGGAGCAGCTGCGCTCATGAGCAAACACAGCTACACCTCCCGAGAGGAGCACTAGAGCTCTTCTACATGCGTTACTGCCTCAGAAATCATAAAAAATCTCTGCTTTACTCTTGAATTCTGAATTATTATGCTGTACAGATCATTCAGAATTATTAGTGTTGTTCAGTATATGGGTTGTGCACACTGAAGTTGATTTGCATCTACATACAAACCGGAGTTGTTCATTTTAAATGAGACTTGAGGCAACATTATCGACATGTAACAATGCATCAAATGTCTGCATTACATCACTGCTCATTTGCATAAAAATTGAGCTCAACTTAAAGGGGCCGTTCACCCAAAAATGCCACGTCGTTCTAAACCCGTATGACGCAAACAAGACATTTTAACATTTTTTACATTTTTAGTCCAAGTCTTCTGTTCTTCCTGGTTTGTCTTTTTGGTTGTATGCAGTCTTTAAAAATACTGGAACCAAATAATTTTCATGACATTGAATCTTCTGAATCGAAGTCATTTCTTTTGCCTTATTCAACATATTATTTGTAATTTTGACTTGTGAGACTGGAGCTTGCATGCTTCAAAAACTACGAAAACACCATAAAATATCATAACATTATTTCAAGTGTTTCATGTTAAGTGCTGCGAACAATGTGTTTCATGTTAAGTGTTTCATGTTAAGTGCTGAGTCAGTGAGTTGAACTGAATCAGTTCAATTCATGAGCAAATCATTCAGAAATGCTATACAATGAATGATTGAATGATTCAAATCAAAACATGAATCGCAGTAAAATCCCTTCAAATCACCAACTCTCATTGAAAATGAATGGCGTTCAGTTGATTGATCACTGCAGATGACTGTCAGTGTGAAGATCCCTCAGGAACACAGTCAAGCAGCTGGGAAATCTCCAGCAGTTTACACAAACATCTGTGTATCCTGGTGCTGTTTAGGGAATAACTAAATAAAATAAAACAGGAAATAGCTGAAAATCTTCTGAACCATAAACCATCTCCAGACCAGCAGGACTGGTTCACAGAGGCGTATCTGTTCGAGTTTGATGCTGCTGATCTCAGAGCCCACAGACATGCTGTTTTTGTGGGTGTTTTGAGCTGTTTACTCAGACGTTGTGTCATTCTTGTGGTTGTGTTGTGCTCAAACATGATTTATTCACAATAATGACATGTTAAAGCCTTTAGCTTTTTGTCGAGCTGCAGACGAGACACTCCTGCGCAGCTGCTTTGAGTCATACGTGAATTCATTCTGCTGTGCTCAGATCCCTGACTCAGGAGGAACGTGTGGATTACTGGAAACACTGACACACATAATGGACAACTTCTGTTTCCCTCAAAATATAGTTTGTGTTCGTGTGTGGCCTGGTGCAGTAATGCTGATTAAAATTCATATGCATTACTGTAGCCTTCACACACACACACACACACACACACACACACACTGTCGTGACCTTGCTCTCCTGTCTCTCTCACACACACACACACTGTCTTGACCTTGCTCTCCTGTCTCACACACACACACACACACACTGTCGTGACCTTGCTCTCCTGTCTCTCTCACACACACACACACTGTCTTGACCTTGCTCTCCTGTCTCACACACACACACACACACACTGTCGTGACCTTGCTCTCCTGTCTCTCTCACACACACACACACTGTCTTGACCTTGCTCTCCTGTCTCACACACACACACACACACACTGTCGTGACCTTGCTCTCCTGTCTCTCACACACACACACAGCTGTGGTCTGTCCTGCCACAGAGAAATATGACACCAGTCTCCATTCTGCAACTACAACAAAACCCTCCTGACGACAGTCGGACACAGATGAATAGGACATGAGTGTGTGTGTGTGTTGTGGGAATTGGGGCCTAATACGTCACTCCTATGTGATTTAGAGCTGCTGACTGGGAAAAAGCATGCATGTGGGACTGACAGTATTGAGGAGTGACTAAAACCAAAACTGAAAAATACATTCTATACAGAATCAGAACATGTAATGCATATGATCTGTGTGCACTGAAATTTGATCTTCATTCTTTTGCATCCATTTTTATGCTTGTAAACGTAAACATTAGGTTTTCTGTGATGTTCTACATTGTGTTGTTGCCATTTCTACTTATCTGACACCAAGATGATGTTATCTAGCTGGTTGACATAGATGAGGTTTTGTTAAATTTGCAAAAGTGACTTGCATTGTGTGCATTCATGATTTGAAAATACTGAAAATTGCAAACCAATCAGTAATGATTTGCATTGTCTGCCGTTGTTTTCCTGCAAATATGTTTCTGAATTTATGCATTATAGGTGTATACTTTCCAGATTGCTGATTATTTATTTTTTAGTAAAGTTTTTTAAAGGAAAAATAAAAATAAATTACATTTCAAATATTTACAATAAAATATTAAAATATTTCTAGGAAATATACATAACTACACTACTGTTAACAAGTTAAGTAATAATTTTTGAAAGAAATTAATACTTTTATTCATCAAGGATGCATTAAATTGATCAAAGTGACAGTAAAGACGTTTATAATGTTGCAAAAGATTTCTATTTCAAATAAATGCTGTTCTTTTGAACTTTGTTCATCTGTGAATCCTGAAAAATACAATGTATCACAGTTTCCACAAAAATATTGTGCAGCACAACTGTTTTCAACATTGATAATAATCAGAAATGTTTCTTGAGCAGCAAATCAGCATATTAGAATGATTTCTGAAGATCATGTGACACTGAAGACTGGAGTAATGATGCTGAAAATACAGCTTTGATCACATATATATATATACACATAGAAAACAGCTATTTTAAATTGTAATAATATTTCACAATTTTTACTGTATTTTTGATCAAATAAATGCAGCCTTAGTGAGCAGAAGAGTCTTCTAAGATACTGAGCGTTTATAGCTTCAGTATACAATCAGATGAAGAAAGGCAGTAACTAACACTCTCTCTCTCTCTCTGTTTGGTCTTGTTCTCTGTAGGGTTGAGGACGCGTGCACTAAACTGGTTCAGGCGGCTCAGATGCTGAAGGCCGACCCGTATTCTGTCCAAGCCAGAGATTATCTGATCGACGGGTCCCGCGGGATCCTGTCCGGAACCTCCGACCTGCTTCTGACATTCGATGAGGCCGAGGTGTGATGCATTTAAAACCGTTTAATGCCTTCATTCCTGTGTGTCTTAGCTTGTGCATCGATGCTGACAGAACATTTGCTCTTTTCCCTGATCTCAGGTTCGTAAGATCATCCGTGTGTGTAAAGGGATTCTGGAGTATCTGACCGTGGCTGAGGCGGTGGAGTCCATGGAGGACCTGATCACTTACACCAAGAACCTGGGACCTGGTATTTAATGTTAAAAATACATTCAAAACAACATGAGTCATGTTTTATGTGTAGCTATGTTAAGCAGGATTTAGACCAATGAGATTTCACTAAGGGCGGGGCTTCACACTGTGATGTAATACAAATAGTTGTGATTATGTGGCTGATCAGGACAAAAACAGATGAATTTGGTTGCATGTTTTTTGTCTATAATTATGTTACTTCCTATTTGTTTGTAATCTGTTTCTGATTTGTGTTTGTTTTTTTGGCTTTGTGAAGTGCATTATAGCTGTACACTTTCCAGATTGTAGCATTTTAACTTTTTACAAAAGGGGAAAAAAAATAAAAATAATAGTAACAATATTTATAATAAAATATGAAAATATTTATAGGAAATATAAATAGGTTGCTGTTAAAATATTTAGTACTGTTAAAATGTGTGTTTTTTTTTTTTATTAATATGTTTATTCAGCAAGGATGCATTAAATTGATTAAAATCAACACTAAAGACATGTTGCAAAAGATTTCTATTTCAGACAAATGCTGTTCTTTTGAACTTTCTATTCATCAAGTAACCCTGAGTTATCGCTTAATGCTTTGTGTTGCATCTGATTTGTTTATTTATTTATTTACTTTTTTGTTTGTTTGTTTTGCTTCTATGATTATCTAATGATGTTGCTTCCCTTTGCAATTTTATTTATTTCACACCATTTGCTCATAAACTGTTTCTAATCAGTAGTAGGTTTTACATCTATTTTCAGCTTTGTGAAATGCATTATAGTGCAATACTTTCCAGATTGTTGTATTTTTCATTTTAGTAAAGAAAAAAATAAAATAGAAAATAATATTGAAAATATTAAAATATTTCTAGGAAATATAAATATCAATACACTACTGTTAAAGTGTTTTATTTAAGAAGTTAATACTTTTATTAATCAAGGATGTATTAAATTGATGAAAATTGACAGTAAAGATATTTATAATGGTACAAAATACTTCTATTTCAAATAAATGCTGTTCTTTTGAACTTTCTATTTAACAAATTATCTTGTGTTATCGCTTAATGCTTCTTCATGTTGCGTCTGATTTTTTTATTTTTGGTGTTTTGCTTCTATATTTGTTTGTAATTATGCTGCTTATATTTCACTAGATTTGATCGTCATCTCTTATTCCGTTTCTAATTTGTTTTGTGTTCACATTTATTTTTTTGGCTTTGTAAAGTGATCTTGAGTGGTGCTATCGGTTAGTGTGCTACTAGACTAAACTGGTCAGTCAGTCTCTGTTCACCAGATAAAAGCGTCGCATATCTGACTGTATTTGTGTTCACAGGTATGACGAAGATGGCCAAGATGATTGACGAGCGGCAGCAGGAATTAACTCATCAGGAGCACAGAGTCATGCTGGTCAACTCCATGAACACCGTCAAAGAGCTGCTGCCCGTTCTCATCTCAGGTCTGACCTCTTACATCCAGAGAAATTAATACTTTTATTCATCAAGGATGCATTAAATTGCTCTAAACTTACAGTAAAGACATTTATAATGTTACAGAAGTCTTCTATTTTCAAATAAATGCTGTTCTTTTGAGCTTTCTATTCATCTGTGAATCCTGAAAAATAAATGTATCACAGTTTCCACAAAAATATCGGGCAGCACAACTGTTTTCAACACTGATAATAATCAGAAATGTTTCATGAGCAGCAAATCAGCATATTAGAATGATTTCTGAAGATCATGTGACACTGAAGACTGGAGTAATGATGCTGAAAATTCAGCTGTGCATCACAGAAATAAATTACAGTTTAACAGATATTCACATAGAAAACAGCTATTTCAAACAGTAATAATATTTCAACATTTTTACTGTATTTTTTGTCAAATAAATGCAGCCTCTGTGAGCAGAACGTATCTGTTGGTGTCTCACACAGGCATCAAGATCTTCGTAACGACCAGGACGTCTCAGGGTAAAGGTGTGGAGGAGGCCCTGAAGAACAGGAACTTCACTGTGGAGAAGATGAGCGCAGAAATCATTGAAATCATCCGCGTGCTGCAGCTCACGTCCTGGGACGAGGACGCCTGGGCCAGTAAGGTGTGTGTGAGAGGGCAAAGGTCACGGTGTCTTCATGTGCATGCAGGATAAACCCACCTCACAAACGCACAAGATGCAGTTTACTGTCCGCTCACACGCATGCACGAGTCTGTGACGTTATAATATTTATTGCGCATATTATACATCATGCATGCATATGCATTCTAGTGTTGGTTTGAACATGAAAAATATATTGCAAAAGTATTTTTAAATCTAGATTTGAAGGGTGAAGTGTGTGATATGAACTACCCTGTCCCTGTTTGGTGTTTGCAAATACAGGTGTGTTTGTGTGTTGTGTATTTGTACGTGCCTTTGTGTGTGTTTGTTGAGCTGGTTTCAGGTTTTTAGATTGTGGAGTAAATCCTGAGATTTTGGCTGGAAAGGGCATGTGCAAACTATAACAAGTTCTTCTAGATCACTTTTGGACTAAAGATACGTTGGAATTGAAGTTTGTTGCCTCAAATGTTTGTTGCTTTTTGCTCACTTGTAAGAGTAAAAATGATGCGGTTTAACAGTTTTGGGAATGAATGTGCCGTAGGAAGCTGCAGGCACTGAATCTGGCTGATACATTACTGCATGCATGGAAATATCAGCATAGCACAGGTTTCAAAGCTTCTGGAATCAGAATGAATCAGTCTCACAAAAACATTCCACCCCAAAAAAAATCCAAAGAAAGAATATATGTCTTAAAAGAAATGGAAGAATGTTTTCGGACTATCAAGATTTTATGCATTGTAATCACCATGACAATTATGAATATGACAATTATGCAGATTTTCATTACTGTTATGTGGTTAAAAAATATTATTCAATTATTTTAATTGAATTAAAGAGCATTTTTATTACCATAATTAGTGTGGGCATTTTAGTTTTCTTTGTAGTTCTAATATATATTTATTTTATATAGTTTTACAGTAAAGTGAATTTGTTTCAATTAAAATAAAATGTGATTTATTTGCATTACACAAAATGCTAAATAATGAAAATGTGAGTATTATAAATATATTTCATATACATAAAAATAATAAGATTTTATGCATTGTAACAATTAATCATTGCCAGTTCTTGACAGTTCTAAAATAGACTTTATTTTCTTAATAATAAAATTTCTCATTTTTGTTTATAATTTTAGGGATGAAATCTAGAGGTTTTGTGAGATCGAGTCATGTGTTTTGGGGAAGTGAGTGTTTGAGGTTGAAGGTTAAAGCTTTCAGATGTGGCTTCAGCGAGAACTGGGCTTGTGTTTGTGCATTATCAGTGTTTTTATTTATTGGTTTGTTTGCTCTTTTCTCTCAGTGGATCTTTTCACTCGTTCTTGTTCAAATGTGTGCTCTGTTTCTCCTCTCTGGGTTTGTCTTCCTCCCTGTAGAAGGTAAGGATCTGTGCTCTCTCTCTCGCTGTGTGTTAGCAGGTTTGCGCTCGGCCTGATGGGATTTGGAGTGAAGTGATGGCTGCTGGACGTTTGTCTCGTCGCTCGTGTGTGATGCTAACAGAAAAATGCTGCAGTTTGATTAGACGATTTAATTCAATTCAAGTCAAGTTTATTTGTATAGCGCTTTTCACGATACAAAGCAGCTTTACAGATAAGTTTCTACTACATTATATTTAGCAGTAGCTTTTCAGTGGTGACTATGTGGAGACGATCTCACATGTTTTGCTTTTCGTTTCATAATCGCCATCACAGAAATAAAAAAGTTTCCTTTTCCAGCATCAAGTCATCTAAAAAAATGAAAAATAATAAAATAATGAGTATTTTGGAATGCAGTGACTTCAAAAAAAAAATTGTAGTTTATTATAGTAGTTTAATTATTTTGTTATAGGTGATAACCAATATGTTGGTTGTTTATGCTCACTAAGGATGATCAAAAATACAGTAAAATTGTGAAATATTATTACTATTTAAAACAGCTGTTTTCTATGTGAATATGTGTCAAACTGTAATGTATTTCTGTGATGCGCAGCTGCATTTTCAGCATCATTACTCCAGTAAGCGCCGTGCGCATTTTACTTTCACTTTCAAATTAGCGGTAATTCAGTGTTGATTCAATTCAAGCAACTACAACGTCAAACTCATAGAACTTTTATTAACAAAATGAATAAAAATACACCATATATACCTAATAAAATAACAAATGACTTAGGCTACACAAAGTTTAAATCGGTATATAAAACTGAAAATCAGCAAACACTGTGGAACCAAATAAATAAGAAACATAGAACATTTATTAGCAAAACGAATAAGAAAGCTCGGAGGCACGGCATATACACCTTGACGTAAAATAAAATAAAATACACAACGTTTAAATAAAGTAATCAGCAAAACTGTGGAACCAAATAAATAAGAAACGAATGTTTAAAAAACTTCCAGTCAATGGGCTTCTCAAAATCAAAAATATTGCCAAACAGGCGCCTTTGCATTTCCTTTCTAAACAATCTTCTGCCATCGTCTTGTTTTTTTCACCTCACTCTTGTCAGTCAGCTCGACTCACTCTCCTCGCGTGATAAATAAAATCTGACTGCTGCTCCGTGGTACACTGTCATTCGTGCACGGCTCGGCACGTTTAGTTTTTAAAAGTGTCTGTCCTCTAACTGAACTAGGCTAAATTATTTTTGTTACTATAAAAAAATCACAGCGTGCCGCGGTAGGCAAATGACGTAACCGGTGTTGCGGCTTAACAACGGTATAACCGAAAACACCATCTATCGCAGCAAGCCTAATGCTCATTTAAAAAAAAAATTGTCAGTAATATAGTATAAACTGAGGATTTAATGCTGGAGAAGGAAGCAGCGGTTTGTCAGGGCCGCTGGACTCACTGATGGCTCCGTTTAATGTTTAACATGTCTCTGTCCTGCTGTAATGTGAGCAGTGTGTGTGTGTGTTTAATCTGGTATTGCTCTGAGATCCTGTTTTCTGAATACTGTGTGTGATTTGTGTGAGAATGCAGGCTCTCATCACTGCAACTGTAATAATAATTTAAAACTCTAATGTGGTCAGAATGATGTGTGAATAACCTGAGCTGATCAGCTTTGGTCATTTCCTGTCTTCACTCCTCCTCCACATCATTTCCTGCCTTCTCTTTGTACCTGTTAAAAAAGCTGCTTAAACCAGCCCAAGGTGGTTTTCCGATCTAAGCTGGTTTATGTGGTCTCTCAGCCCACAATCCCTCTAAAAGACCAGCTTGATGACTTGCTGAGACCAGAAAACCGACCTTAGACTGGTTTAAGAATTTTTTTTTAAGCAGGGTACAATCAATAAATGTGACTACAAACAAAAAAATGAACCTAGACACAGACGATACATAGTCCAGGCTTAAGAAGAGCCTAAGGCAGCGAGTTTGACAGATGTGTTTCATCATGAGAGGAACTGTGAGGTTTGTGGGTTCGAGTCTGACGCTGCAGAAGTGTTAAAAGGCTCGTCTCTGAGGAAACTGATCTGCTGTGATGCTTCGACAGAAAAAAATGTTGCACCATCAGCCTCAGTATCACTCAATAAATCACACAGAATATTTGTGTGTGCTTAATTACACATTGTGTGTGTGTGTGTGTGTGTGTGTGTGTGTGTGTGTGTGTGTGTTTCTGTGTGTGTGTGTGTGTG